CTTGCAAATTTTTTCCTCATTAATATAAAAATATTTTGTAATGGTGCACAGGAAATTTCAATTGGAGATTCTCCAGGTTAGTGTTTATTTTGAAGATTTATGATGCATTTATTCAATCAAACCTCTGTCAGCCGTTCCACCCCTTTGACCTTACACATTCTATTACAATGAGTTTTGCAGTTTTGCACACTTTTTAAAAAAAAAAAAAAATGTCAGTAACTGTTAGGGAGTTTTACTTGAATACTCAGTACCTACAATGTTTTAAAAAGAGACATTGCACATGATCTAGAGGAAACCAGTGTTGCAGTAAATTCTCAACACTGCACGTAAATGAAGATATGTGTACTTTTTAAAACCAGACCTTGTCCCAAATATATTGTTTGCTATTAAAAAACAAATTAGATTTCTAAACTTGGCAGTCTTGTATCGTTTGTTCCTAGGGATATAGCCAGGAGTAGGGATTGAGATTCGCTTTCGGTATATAATTGATGTGCCCAGACTGCAGATGACTTAACAGAGTACAACTACTGTTGTATATACATGTGAAGTAGCTGACAAAATTGTTTGCTATGAAGTTCACCGTGAGTAGCTGTCCCCAAATTTACACTTCTTTAGGATGTCAACCTCCCTCCCACCTCCCCCACCCCATTTAATTAACTTACCGGTGCTGACATTGAAGTTCATTAGCTGTGTTCTCGCCTAGATAACAACTGTGTGTGGAATCAATAAGGGCCCTGTACAACAGCATTAATGGTAAGAATTTGAATAAGACAAGGCAGGATTTCCATCAACTACTCTTGGTAAACAAAGGTATGAAGTGCTTTTTTGGGGATCTTTTGGTCAGTTTTGCTCAAATCCATGACTCTAACTTCTAACAAAGCTGATAAATGTTTTCTGACTGGTAGGTTTAATTAGACTGTAATATCTTAACGGATCAAGGTCGCTGGTTCCAGCAATCATTATTCCCATTGTTACTGAGGAGCAGGAGGTGGTTACCTTGAGATGTGACATTTAACTACCCTTTGAATCATGTTTCACCCTGTCTGTTTTTAACAGTTGAAAGTTGTGTTGGCTAATAAACAAAAATGTTCATGCTTTAAAAATCCTTGGATATTGACACTGTTCTGTGTCCCGCTTTTGGACTCATGATAACAAAATTTGATTGGAGAGGTTCCAGTATGCAACACTGCGGGCAGGATTGGAAATAATGACGTGATGGGCTTTTGCACTGTTATTCTTCCTTTGGAATGTGAAGGTTGGAATGAGGGTTTTGATTTTGAATGTTGCGATGTTTCTGAGAAGCCTTGCTTACATTTTATGGTGTAGTCATTGGAAATGGAAAAATGGAATTATATATATATATATATATTATAT